CCCGGGGGGGGTCCGGGGTGGGGCATAAAACCCCATTTTTGGGGTTTAGCCCATGTGGTGCGCGCTTTCGCTGCGCACCCCCCACTATTTTATTTTATTTTTTTTGATTTTTTTTAATTTTTTTTATTTTATTTTTTTTGCGGGGGGGTCTGGAGCCGGGGTTGGGGGTGCCCACCCCCGGAACCCCGGAACCCCGCCGGGGCCCCGGGGCCGGGGCTCGACAACCCTGCTCCAAATCGGTGCCAGCTTGCAAGCGCAACTATGCCGCTCCGACGGGGGAATGCTACGCGGCTCTCTAGGGAATCAACCACTTTCGCGCTTACTTGTACGGGCGAAAGTTCACCTTGGTAACTGACCATGAGCCCTTGTTGGCTCTGAAGAAATCGAAGAATTACTCTGGCATGATCGGGCGATGGGCAACGGTGCTGCAGAGCATGGACTTTGACATTCGTCATCGGAAACACGAGAGGCACGGGAATGCGGACAGACTGACACGACTGCACCGGCCTGAGAAAGTTCCGAAGAGTGAGGAGGTGACTCCGTGGAACGAACCCGAACAGGAGATCGGACCTCGGTACGGCCAAGTGGAGATCTTATCGAAGCAGTAAGTGACACGAAGACTAATTGGTCTGTTCTACCCTCTCTACATCCCTTCCTTCTCTGTCATCATGACTACCCCACTTGCCTCCGCAACCCCTTCCTCTCCTACTAATTCTGCCCCTCTCATGTCCTCAGCTTTCTTTGCCACCCTCCCCGATAAATTTTGTTATTTTTGCACGTGCATTGCACGGGTCTATGGGGTTGACTGTCATCCCTTCGAAATCGGGTAATCGACTGGGTAGAATGTGCCACGTGTGTCAATCGTGCGCACGGGGCCTGCGTTCGATATTGGACGAATAGCAAAGAATGGAGATGCCCCCTGTGTAGAACGAACAAACTCCCCACGGAGGTTCGATTCGAGGCCGGCCCTGAATATGATGAAAAATACCGACGAGCGGAGGTTTGGACGGATAAAATTTGATTGGCAAAATTAGCGGGATTATCACTGGGCCACCTCACCAAACACGACAGACGTAGGGCGACCGAGAGATCTCGGGACTATCGATCGGTCAACGGTCATTTGGAAAAATGTAAAACTGACGGATCGGGCTCGTGGTTGACGGTTCCCCATCCATTCCAGAGATATGATTGGATCCGATTTGCTCACGAAGAACAGGCCGCTTATTTCGCAATACGTGTCACGGAGGCAACTGTAGATCAGAACCAATGGTTCTGATGGTTCTGGTCCAATATACGAGATGATATCAAATACATGTCGCTAACTGTCTGGTCTGTGCCGCTGATCGCGCCCCTATACGGGGACCAAACACGATTGTACCAACGGAAGTAGAGCGTCCTTTCCAGCGAGTCAGTATGGACACGACAGATATCGACGTGCCGCCTGGCACAAACCGCTGTGAATATTCTATCCTGCTAGTATTAATAGATCATTTTTCCAAGTACATCGAAGTCTATCTCTGTAAGACCCGAAAAGCCGCAGAAATAGCCACGTACATCGAACGGTTCCTCTATACCCATCTAGATACGGAAGAAATTCTGACCGACAATGGGTCCGAATTCAAGGGTGAGGTAGAAGAACTGCTTGCACGAAGGGGCGTCACGCTCCGACATACGGCACCCCACGTGTCCCAATCAAACGGGTTGGCCGAAAATGCCAACCGTATGATTAAAACCGCCCTTCGCAGGAACTTAGCGGCACATGACACGCGTCCTTGGCCCCAGATCGTATATCAGATCGTCGGGATCCACCAGGCCACCCCTCACGAGTCCACGGGGCTTACCCCTTTTCAGCTTCGAACTAATAGCCTCCCCTGTGTCGACTACCGGGGTAACTCGGAAATTGCTGAAGTAGGGGGTAGAGACACGTGTGCAGCTCTCAAGGCCAAGGCCAAAAGATACACCGAATTAATGGAACGGACCGTCCCGAAGCTAGCCCGAAAAAGGCAAAGGATGACCAAACTGGCCCACGGTAGATAGGTCCGTAGCTACGAGGCTCGGAATGGAAATGCTGGGCCCCAACATCAATATAAATTAGGGGACCTAATGCAGGTACGTAAATATGCACGCGACCGGAAACTCGCTCCCAAGTTTTCTGGCTGTTTTCACGTTGTCGAGCTCGAACCCAACGGCTCCAACACGGTGCGCATCGCGCCTGAGGCTAGTGCTAGCCATAACTCTGTCCCCATCGTCCGGCATACATATTACATCCGTCTTCTTCCTCCTTCGGATCCTCTTCCCTCTTCTTCCTCGGAAAGCGAGGAGAACGATGATGATATAACTCTCTCTCCTCTTTCTCCCTCTTGTCCTTCGTCCTCCTTTCCCACCTCGCCATGAGTTTTATCACGGAGCGGGTTCTTGACACACAGTTGTTGCAGCCACGTGGCCACATCTCAGAGATTCGGCAAGTTTGTCATCCTCGGCTCAATGCGGATCTTCAGCGTTTGATGCGATTCTTCTGCGACGAAGGTATCTGCGCCGCCGCCGCGTTTCGAATCGAAGGAAGTCCTCACGCAGTAATATTCGCGGAGGTAACCGCAATTCATCGGCGAGCGGGACCCAGAACGAGACATGTCACCACGGTTGCGGCGTTCAACGGCGACATCAGCTCGATCAATCCGCAGTGGCATACCGCGATCTTGACCTCGCTGCGCGGGTGGACGGAGCAAGTGTCCAACGTGTGGCAGCACGTCCTCGCCCGACAGGGGTATAACCTCATCCCGATCTTTGCACCGGATCTTGGCGATATTCGCCAATCACCGCGCGAGCGGCCAGTTGCGATCCCAACCCTCGTCCCCTTCCCACATCCCCAATGAACCACGCCGATCTTCTCGCTCCTCTCTCTATCTTTGGTCTCCCTTCTCTCTTCCCCACCTTCTGGCAATCCGATCTTCATCCTTCTCTTTCCTTCTCGTTCGAGCCTCTTTCGGTCCCTCTTATCAATCCTGGACATTGGTGGCTGTGGCGCGAAAATTTTGAGGAGTTGTCTTTCTGCTTGGCCAGAGTACAGGTGACGTGGACACAGACCAGCGGGCATCCTGCGTGGATCAAAAATCCGGAGCTGCTAATCATCCAAGCTTGGAGGACTAACGTGGAGGGCGATCTTCTTGGCTTTCTCTTTGGATCGGTACAGCCGGGGCGCCACCAGCTGATTGCGCAGGAGCTCATCGCACCAATCGTGCAATTGGCGGACGATCTCTCGCCTGACATCTAGTCACAGAGTGACGACAGTCCTGCTCTGTATATTTTCGAGCGATCATTGGATCCGTACCTTCAGTGGACTGCGTGCTTGGAGGAACCTAGGGACGAGGATACGATACCATCGCGGCAGGAGTATCTGAAGCCGTACGATATCATCCCTCACGCCTTCTATCCAAGGGCAGAGGAAGTGGTGATCGACGATGACGACGAAGAGGACGAAGACGAGGAAACATCGGAGAAGGGAAGCTATAGTGAACATAGCGACGGCGAGCTGAGCGAAGGAGAAGAGGAGGAAGAAGAAACCGGATCTGAGTGGGAAGCCTTGCCGGAGGAAGCGACGCGTACGGGAACGGAGGCGGAAGATCCGGAAGCGGCGCGAAAGCGCGAAGAAATTGCCACCGGGAAGCGCCAGCTGGAGTTCGCCAGCAAAGCTAGCCTGCACATCGGTAACGATCTGACCAGGGATCCAGAGCCGCCGAAGCCCGAAGATGGTGACCCTGCAGCCGCCACCTCAAGTACCGCGGGACGGAGACGGAGCCGATACCCCTCCTCCTCCAGCCCCACCCGTCCCCCAGTTCGCCCACGTACCGATGCGGGCGATAGGCCTTCGTCCTCGGACGCTGTCCTGCCGACCCCTTGATTTCCTCACCCTCGAGCAAATCCGTACCCACGTCACCTTCCCTTCCCATCCCTTCCTTCCCCATCTCTTCCGCGACTTCTATTCTACCCGCCTACTCGCCACCGTCCACCCCCACGCCTCCCTTCAATCCGCTGCCCCCACGTTCTGCTGGCATCTCCTGCTGTTCAGCGCTGCATGAGAGCGATGCAACATGGTAGAGGTTTACTGCGTTGCCACGGGGACAATCCCCTCCTGCCGCCACTATGAGTTCTTTCGAGCGGCGTTTTTCCGCACCCTCTCCTCCTTCTATCGCGACTACCTTGCTTCCCTCCCTCGCAGCGGCGATCACTTCCCCCACTTCCACCGGATCATCCGATATGAGGAGCTTCCGGTGACGATGGAAGGAATGAATCGCTTCATACCCCCACTTCCTCCCCGTCGACCCCGAGAAATCCCCTCCATATACCGCCTCTATTGGCCCATTCCAACTAGGAGGTAGATCCCGATCACATCACTACCCCC